GCATGCAATGTCCTATGTAGCTGCTGCCTATCCCTCTTCTCATCAATAATCTCCTAAACAGGCTTATAACGGTTCTCATCATCATCTAATTTTTGGGCTATCTCTCTTTTGCATTTCTCCATAGCCTCATATATGTAGCCCATAGAAGCCTTGTCATTATCAACTATGCGGAGGACTTTGACAAAAGGAAGAAATACCTTAAGAGCGCCCTTCACCCCTCGCCAACAAGCCTTAGAAAGGATAATATCTCTCACCTTCTTCCAAACCTGATCCTTGGACCACTTGCATGCTCTCCAGACATTTGAGGTAAACATCTGCCTTAACTGCACTCTCCACAAATGTATGCTATCTAGGCATAAGTACCAAGTCGCAAATCTCGTAACCCTAGGCCTCACAATCTCTTTCTTCTTTGGAAATCTACGCATCATGTTGAGTGTGAGATGGTGGCTATAAATGAAATTTCTAACTGACTTTGCCTTCTTCACTGCATCTGATATCTCGGTTAAAGCGCCAAGAGCCTCAAGCGTGAGGTCTATACAATGTGTTGCACATGGTGTCCAAGAGATTCTAGGGTAAGCTATGCGCAACAAATTAGCATCAGTAACATTAGGAGCAACATTGTCTATGACAACCTATACAACAAGATGCTCCCCAAGCTCCTTGATTCCCTTCTTTATAACTTGGAATATGTATATGACTATAATCAAAGGCATCTATAGACCTCAAAAAAACAATCCTTAAAGGACAATTCACCAGCAAATTCATCTGACTTCTTCTCTTCCTATCATTCCAAGCATCAGTCATAATAGAAACTCCATATTGAGCCCATGCATCTTTCTTAACTTCAACAATATCCATCTTGACACTCACTGCTTTTTTAAAAGAGGCTTTCAAAGCTCATATGGGGTTGGGGGTTTCATCCCAGGCCCAAATTGGCCAATTACCTCTACCAAGGCGTAGAGGCTACTTAGCTGAGCGGTATTGAAAGGAATGCTCGCCTCATTAAACCATGTAGCAACATAAAAAGCAGCTCTTCATTCTATTTTCAATGGTAGTTTACTTCTTTGTTTTTTCTCCTGCAACCTCAGGGTTAGACCAGGGCAGAAAACTATCTATAGGCCCTCTAATTCGAGGCTTCTTACTCCCAGAACCAGAAGCAATTACAACTTCCTTTCCCTTCCCCCTAATAATGGATTGTTCTACCTCTTGACATCCCTACCTGTCCTCATCACTATCATCGTCATCATAGCTGACTCGAACCTTGGACTTAATATCTGCTATGGAGGCAAATTTTTCATCTTTTTCATTTTTACAAGACTCAGAAAATTGTTCATTTCCTCTTTAACAACATCAAGAGTTTTTTTACATGGGGCAACATCCCCCCTGATACCGGCAAGATGTTTCTTCAAAGTGCCCAAGCTTCCACCTTCTTACTTATCATAAACTACTCCCTAGACCTTGTATTTTTGCTTGACACACTCAAGAATATGTCCCTCCTTCCGTCACATACACATTTTTACTCTATGGTTCACAAATCCTTGAATATGCCCCATGAGTATGTGCAAATTTGTGGTCTTCGTGTTGGTAAATAGCATTAGGCTAGATGTTTTGATTTTTGAACTATATAGTCCATAGCATCTTGGTTGGCCATTTCAATTCTTCTAGTGCACCCATTTCCACTTCTTTGGCGTGAGACTCCTCTTGCTATTGATCAACTTCATTTGGTGAGGTGTTTTATCCCCTTTCAACCATTTTTTGTCCTTGCACTGTCTGCAAGTAGCATGTGTTCTCCACTTCAATGGTCATTGGAGGGTCCTCATCTCCATTTTTAAGGGCAAGGCTAGCACCAATTTCTGTCCACATAGAATATTTATGCGATCTCCATCAGAGGATATGGTAACCTGGGGTTCATTGAATTTTTTTTCTTTTGGGTGAGCTTGTGTGTGTGTGGGTGTGTGTAGGAGGGGGGGTATTTAAGGATAAGGATGATATCAGAGATATTCGTAGGGTGTGTTGGGGTTTAACTTAGAACAGTTTTCAAAAAGCGTGTTCGACCACCTTATGACTGAGGAGTCCCAAAGGCAAAGGGGAGGGATAGTGTAAATATAAGAATATGTAATACAGTGTTATATAATATGAGCTATATAGTGTTATATATAACACGGAAACACCATTGTACTATATCAATATCTTATAGTATACAATATGATATTATATGATATAGGATAGTAAAGTAGGATAGATGACACAGTAGTACATTGCATAGCAGCTGTACCACTATATGTATAACATATATAATGTGTAACTATCAATATATTTATGATAAGTACTACATAAAAGGCATAAAGTAGGGTATGTTATTTATAATAGTAATAAGAAAAGAAGTTTTTTGTATAAGACATAAGGTAGGGCATCTGACATAAAGTAGCTATAGGACATAAAGTACTATATATTTCATTATAGTACTATATAGTTAATTATATTCCTATATATTATTCGTAATATATAATACTTTATTCACATGATATAACATATATTACTATATTACTTTATATATAGCAAATTAATATATAGGAAGTAATATATCACTAGTTGGCTAAAACACCTGCCTTGGCCAAGGTGCTAAGGGCCTGCCTAGGTGGCGCCTTGGCTAGCAAGGTGGGATCCTAGAGGCCCTATGCCCTAGGGGCCGCCTTTGCCATGAACGATGTGCCTAGGGCTCTCACCGACCTAGACGACGAGCTGGTGGATTTTTAAACATTGACCTAGAATAAAGTAATGCATGGGCATGACCATGTTTGTTTTTCTATTTTTCTTTTTTTTGTTTTATACCTTATTTTCTTTAGGTAAAAGTATTTTCTTCTTGATATGGAGAAGTAAGGGGTTGTAACTAGTACACAAACTTATTTATGAAAATAAAACTGTGAGGGGGGATATGAGGGTGAAAGGAAGCATATTACAATGAATTTATTAGATTCATATTTGGGATGGATGCTAAAAGGTACAACAGACTTGTTATTGGGTTTCTATTATATATTATGTGGTCATTGAGTGGTATAGGAAGGAATTAAGTTGTCACAAAAAAGAACTCCGCTCTGAGTAGGCTTAAGTGACGGCTTCCTTGGGGTGCATGATGTTGTGAAAGATGAGCCTCTAGTTGTCTTTTGGGGCATCTGGAAAGAGAGATTATAGGATGCTTAGAGGAATTTGTGTAGTGTTTGCTCACTCAGAGACGGTGTTTCAAAAAGTGCTAGGCGGCACCTAGGCGGTCGGGGGGGTCCAGGCCGCCCAGCGCCTAGAACCTGGGCGGCCTAGTAGAAAAATATTTTTTTTTGGGTTTTCTCTCTTTAAAATAGCCTCTAATGGGTTTTAGGTTTCAAAACCCATTTAATATTAAAAAAAGACCCAAAAATACCCTCACGGAGCCGCATTTCTGCCCTTGGGTGGGGGTGCAAGCCTTGGGCGGCTGCCTAGGCCGGTTCAGGCGGGCACCCAAGGATATCCGCCTAGGCGGCCACCCAGGAGCTAGGCGGTCCGCTTTTTGAAATAGTGCTTAGAGAATTGAATGGTGATACATTGCTTCTGTAACTGCGTTGTGACCGCTATGCCAAGGGATACATCAGAAATGGAAGACAATGGCTACTAGTGCATCTCAAAGAATGACATGGGGGTTATCCATTGGTGACCACTCATACAGGTGCTTGGAAGCTTTAACTTTAATGATATACTTTTTTAAATTCTTTTAGTGTTTTTATTTTTTTAACTTTGATGTTATCTCCTTGTTTGGCACAAACCTAGTGGGTGTTGGTGTACTTCGAGACGAGGTTTTAAAACCTCGAACTCATTGTTCAACAGTGTTCCTTCTAAAATTTAACTCTGAGTAACAGCCAAATCAGAAAAAATGAGGTGGGTTTTTTCATTTTTAAGGGACAGAGAGAAAATAATGTAGTCTATAATGGGGTTCAAACCCTGTTTTTCATAGAGTCAAGGCAGCATTGCTACCAGCTCAGAGTTTGTATTTACCAAATAAAATAACACAAACATATGTATGTATCTTAAACTTGGGCATTTAATTTGCAAAACAGAGAATTTGCCCATGTCGATTTGACTTGTCAATGTTTTTTGAGTTAAATGGTTTCCTATTTCACTGCTTGAGACAGAGCTTTAGGTGTGTGAGGACTTTCTCAAGCCTGAAACATTCAAGAAGCTGAAACATGTGCCCCATGTACTCCTCTCGAGACAAGGCCCTTGCTGCTATCTGGTCATGGAAGATCACTCTCAATGTTATCAGGTGGGTCAGGTGTGCCTAGATTTCCCTTGGTGGTCAGTATACATGATGAAGGAGATGCTATCCTATTAGATCCATCTCCTTCCACAACATTTGGTGCGAAGACAATATGAGAGCCAAGTTGCTACCTCAAGCTGGAGCTTAGGGAGAGTAATTTGGGTTGCTAGATTCTTTCCGTATAACATGATTGATAGACAATCTGTTGTTTCAGTCTTTGGTTCTTTTGCTTTTCCTTTTTTTTTTAGTTTGTCTGTTTGGAAAGTATACTGATTGCTTTAGTCAATACAACATACTTAAAAAATAGGATGTGTTTTATTGCTATCTCTTAAGGCTTGTTTTTAGTTTTATTGGATTTTACTAATGTCACATTTCTAATTGTCTAACTCAGGATTGTTTTCTTTATCTTTATAAGTATGAAATATCTATTGTATTTTGAAATCGTTTCTCTTCCATCGACCTTTTCTTTTAGGTTCATGGAATTTTCTTGGAAATTTGTAATGGTTTCGTCTTTCTAGTATTTGGGTCTGTAGTTGAACTAATTTTTCTCTGCTTATGATGGTTGAATGCCAAGGTCTTAGGTTCCACATTATGGAACTAGTAGGACTTGCGCATTATACTCATGGTTCAGGAAGTTGGGAGTCATATTTGCAGCCTTATAACAATTCTGCTTTATCCATCAGATTCACCTTGGGCTTCTTGATTCTTATTTCAGGTTGCTAGTTTGGGTAAACTTCTTGGACCACGGGGGCTAATGCCCAATCCCAAGGCTGGAACTGTTTCAACTAACATACCTCAGGTATTAACAACTTTCAATTTTTGAAATAGGTTAATACCAATGTTATCTTCTCCTTGTATTGTTTTAAATGTATACAGTAGTTGTAATTGTCATTTTTAAGCTGCATCAATAATTTTCACAAATGTAGTCTTTCAAATTCACTTGTTCTAGGGAGACGTAGATTTTTATATGGACAGATGTTCTTTTGTGTATTCTGTGATATTGTTGGAAGACTATTATAATTGGCATTAATGCAAATTTCTGGCTTTGGCCAATTCCACCGAAGATGTGTTAGTGAATGCTAGTCACAAAATAATTATCTAATGTGTCTACATTTCATTTGACAAACTTCATTGGATGGGAATATGGGGAGAATATAATGATTTTATCTGTGAGCAACTATATGTGACTTGATTCTCTTTGTTGATTTCTTCTGGATATTGCTGATCTTTTCTTAAGAGGTTGAAGTTTGGACAGCTTCATTGAAGGTCTCAAGATGTTCCATACTTCAGGTTTTGTTCACATTAGTTTCACATTCCCTTTAATGGTAAAAGAATAAAAAATATAATATAATACAAGGAACCTTTCTTCAAGGCAATGAGGCTTCAACAATGAGATAATGTGGAACTATAGGTTACATAATACTAGCTTGACTTAAAGAATGCGAAGTGAATTATGATACATTATGACCAACACAATTCTAGCTCCATATGCACTTATGCTAAGTTCCTCTACTAAAATGTCTAACCAAAGTATCTGCAACTCACTAGCTGTGCTCGCCATGGCATATTTTGCCTTTTTTGGCAAATGAACAGCATTGCTTTGTTCCATACTCTTTCTGGTGATATCTTACAATGATTTAAGGTTTTTTGCTGAGGGAAGCCAGTTTGTTCATCATTTTTCCTTCTAAGAGGCGAAAGACAAATCACAAGCAGTGTGAATAATTTGAAAGAATGGATATCTTTCTTATAGAAGAATGGTATGCACCTTTCCCCCACAAATATATTTGCTTGTCTACACAATCAAGCTTGAGGTGTTCATGCTCCTGGAAGTTAATATGTTGGTATCAGCGGGTTCCATTTGAGGTTATGGCCTTGATCGTGACGAAGTAATGGTTCTAGTGGTTGAAAATGTCGAGCTTTACACCATTTCTTGGGTCCTTGAAAATGGCATATTGCATTTTTATGTCAGAAGTGAATCTTTAAATTGCCGTAGAGAAAAAGCCTACCTTAGTTCGATGGTTTTTGAAACATAGCCCTTAATAGTCTTAGTAAATATGTGAATCCAATGGTTCTGTGCATGGCCTCATATATGCTCTGACTGTGACTGCACTTTGTGCACTTCAGTCATATTTTGGATTCTTCAGATCAAATTGAGTTGAAATTATCTGTTTGTTTCAGGCTATAGCAGAATTCAAGAAAGGGAAAGTTGAATACCGAGCCGATAAGACGGGGATTGTTCACCTTCCTTTTGGGAAGGTTGAGTTTTCTGAAGAAGATCTTCTCATAAACTTGATGGCCGCAATTGTATGTCATCTTTCTTCTGAGAACATGCCTCTCAGTCTTCATTAAACTTAAATTTTTGTAATGCAAATCTTTTGCCTATTCTGCAGAAGTCAATAGAAGCAAACAAGCCCAGTGGTGCCAAGGGAGTTTACTGGAAAAGTGCTCATATATGTTCATCAATGGGCCCTTCCATTCGATTGAATGTTAAGGAGATGGTTGACTACAAACTTGCAGGAAATGTGTGATGTCAGTCATTTCTTTATCTATCATATCTGCCTACTAACATGTAAATCAGGGACTTCATTTTGTATTATATGTGAGGTATGTGAGGCCATGGAGCTGTAATGTGATATTTTTGTGTCTTCCAAATTTTCTTTATAGTTAGTGATTCTTGTATTTATTTGTCATTCAATGATACTGGACTTACCATTTGCCATGAGCATATCTGTATAGAATTATGCACTCCCCTGGTCCAAAATTTAGTATTATGGGGATTGAGCTGTAGTGTCCGAGGTTTCCTATCATTATAACAACACTTTACCTTGGTATATTGCAGTGGGAAGGAAGTTGGCCAAGGACTTGCATTTCTCTAGATATTGTATCTCCACTTAAGCATAGTTGCATGCCAATGAAGAGGGAGCATCCTCTCTGCCTTCAAACAAATTTTTTTTGGGTGAGAATGGAGTCTAAGAATGGAGCCCCCACACCCTTTAGTGAGAATGGAGTCCAAGACTTCATCATGTGGCTCGGCCCTACTACTGCCAAGGCTCCAGCCCAATCTCCTCTTCCTTCAAACATTAGCATTTGTAAACCTTGCGTTTGTAAATGTATGTGCTACCATTTTATAGTAGGGTCCGTCTGTAGATATTTGTGCAAATTTAAGTGTTTGGAAGTGGTTTCTACAATGTATACCCTAGAAGTGAAATTGGGTTACTATTTAAACCAATTTAAGTCCCCCTGGTTTAGAACCTTGTATAAAGAGAAATATAGGAATAAGCAAAGAGGGGAGGTTACATGCTCCCTATGTTCAGGTATTACACTTGGATGATGAAGTTTCCATGTGTTATTTTCATTCTGGGTCAAGATTGATAGTGTTGCCAGAACTCTTAATTGACATTTCTAAATGGTTTCTTTTACTTTTTAAGAGTTGTTAGCCCTCAATAAACAGGTTTAATAAACAGGTGCTCCTGTTTGATAACTTCCTTTGAGAAACAGTTATTATATTGTGAGGGTCTACTCTTGAATGGCCTAGATCGACACTCACATTCTCATCCTTGATGAAGCTTTACATCTGTTCAACCTTTGTCTGGGAGGCTCTAACCAAAAGTGATTGACTGTTAGATTCGAAATCAGGTTGTTGAGGCTGTGTCATTTTTGGGCACAAAGTTCAAAATATAATTTTTTTGAATATTGTGACACTTTCATCGATTGGATTTTACATCCAATGGCTATAATTATTGTGACCTTGTACCAAAAATCAATAGTCTCTTTATTTTAAACATGCCTAAAATGCAAACCCCAACTTTCCTAAACACGTATTTGTTTATTCATTACGTCTGTCTAAAACTTTCCTCATATGGAAGTACAAATTGGAAAATGATTTTGTTTCCTATTTATAACATAAATCAAATTGCATAAAAATGGAATTTAGGAGGCAGCATTTGGCATCTAATGTGATTTTCTGGAATGCTCTTTGATTTCACTGTTTCTTCGCATGCCTGGTTGTGTTTGGGCATCAGAGTGTTTCTTGAGGAATCTTCTTGGTGTATTTTTTCTGGAGTGTGTTATTAAGAGGTTTAGGGTATTTTATAGTGCTGTCTTAGGTCGTGTATGTAATTAATTATGTACCAGAGACGGATAACAGTTGCACTATAGGTGCTGGAAGACGGTGTTAGCCTTTTTAGGGTTGCTCATGGTTATGTACTTTTGGAGGTCTGTGCTTTTAAACTTACTGATTTTGCTTGGGTGCCTTAACTAAAATGCGGTTGCGGCATCTGTGCTTGGCTTGGGGCGGTTGTCTCAACGTAATGGTACACCCTTGATTCCCACCACATAAGCTAACGACTCTAATATACGTGGATTTTCAACCGTCAGATCTTTATCATGTAGTTCAGAATTTATCTAATATGTTTTTGTCTTATGGTTTCTTTCCTCCCTTTTGTCTTTTTCTCTAAAAACTCAATTTTTAAGCTCTTCCTCTCATATTCTCACATAAACGCCCCAAGTTATTCTTCACCACTCGGGCGATCTCTCTAGAAACCCAAATCCTGTCTAAAACTAAAATCAGAGGATCAAAGGAGAAGAAAAAACAAGAAGAAGAGAAATTATATTTTTAGAGTTTCTAAAGGTATGTTATAATTTCTTCTTTTTGGCTTCTCTTTCTTTGATTTTAGTTTTAGAATGAGAATATGAAAGGATAAGAAAATGGCCAGTGTTTTTAAAGAGAGATTCTGAGTGAAATGGAGAATTGGCTGGGGCTTCTAGATAAAGAATATAAGGACAGAAAAGAATGAGTTGGATTTTTAAATGGTAATTTGAGAACAATGAAGAATGTAATAGGCTGTAAGAGGAAAAGAAGAAACAGTGAAGCTATGTTTTTAGGAAAAAAGAATAAAGGGTTGCCTATTACCATAGGATATTTTAGGCTTGGGAAACCTCACGTGATTTTAAAGAAAAGATGAATATTTTTAAACCTAATAACAAAAGGATGAGATGGGACTTCAAGTACTTGTCCTACGAGTTTCTCTTTATGAACATGTTTAATGCATTCTTTGAGTCCTTTAGGTGGTATTCTCCAGAGAAAAAAAACCTAGTTCGGGGTTTGTAAGAGAGAGTTTGAAACCCTTGCATGCTCCTTACTGTCATGTTCTTTTCCTAATTAATAGAAGAGAAGATTTTTGTTTCATGGATGTAGGCAATTGTCGAACTTGGTGTTTTCCTTCTTTTAATTTTTTGCATTTTCGATATATTGAGTCGATGATCCAGGAAAATGAAGCTCTTGAAGAAGATGCTACATATAAAATTAGAGCTGGACGAACGAAGTGGAGATGTGCAATTGGAGTTTTATGTGATTAAGGCATATCAATGAGACTTAAAGGAAAATTCTATAGGATAGCTATGAGACCAGCTTTGCTTTACGAGGTGAAATGCAGTCAAGAGATAACATATTTATAGGATGAGTGTAATTGATATGAGAATGTTAAGATAGATGAGTAGGATAGAATTCGAAATGACCACATTCTAGAGAACTTACTTTTCTAACAGGCGATACGTGAGAGAAAGGAGGCATCCTACTTACTTTTCTAAACATCTCCTAAAATTCTAAAAAAAATAAAAAAATCCTAGAATCCCTAAAAATCTCTAAAAACCCCAAAAAATAATCGTAGAAATTCTCCAAATACATCCTAAAAAATTAATAAGAAAAAAAATAAAATAAGAGGCATTTTATCGTGCAACATTCTCCGTTGGTTGGAAAAAACTAGTCATTGAGTTTTGAAATAAGGTAAGATGAATTTTCCGTTATTCCCGCAACCTTCTTCAACCATAATATTGAAAACACAACAATTGTGCACTGAAACTGAGTCTTTGCAGTCAATTGATATAGGGTGTGGTTTCCATAAGGTTGCAACCTTAAACAATCCATTTAAGGTGCACCTTCAAATTTTATCATAACATATAATTTTGATGTAAAATATTTTTAAGATTATCTCAAAATCTATTTTCAAACTCAAAAAATGATTAAAATCAAGTAGATCTATAAATATATGAAAATCTTGAAAAGGAGCAGTCTATATAATGTGTTGTAAGATGCACCATTTCTAGGACTCAAAATCCTTTTTTTTTTATAGTCATTCATCTCGATGTCGAGATGACTATTTAGAGGGTTTTTCAATATTAAAACAACCTTTTCCAATAGATTTTTGAGATGCATCCGTAGTTCTATATTTTAATGTTGCAACCTTATATAAACTTTTCCCATTGATATATCCATAAGCATTTTTTTAAAACCCCTCGAGGAAACCATCATTATATGTCGATGCAATAGCAGTGATATATAAACTCAGTTCAATTACATTAACTACTTGAAATTGCATCATGATATCCATTAAACCCTACTGGAATTGTTTGATTAAGCCCTAGAAAAAACCAAGGGGGTATCTTCGAAATGATCATCTCCAATTTGATTCAATAAAGTAGAGAAAAGAAGCAAAATCAGTTCAATCAACCATCAAAACAGGTCAAATTTGAGTGGGTCTGACTTTCCTTGCACAAAAAGAGACCCCAAAGTCCTATGTAGGGCTTGTTAATATACACAACTTGTTTTCACTCTTCACTCTCCAAAAGTGTTAGAAGCCTTAATACCCCAGGTCCTTCTAGTACATTTTAAAATAAAAAAAAGACCAAAACTATCCCTTAAGTTAAAACATTAAAAAAATACCCCACATGTCACTTCATTTAAAAAAAAATTGCAACAACACTTTTATACCTAATAAGACAAGTAATTGTGCAGCATTCTAACCACTTTTGTAAACATCTCCTAGAATTTTAAAAAATATAAAAAAAATTAGAATCTTTAAAAAACTTAAACCCTAAAAAATACCCCAAAAAGTAGCAATGTTTTCAACCACTACTCAGGGTGAGTACTCTGCCCGATGCCCGATCTGAGTACTTGGCCCGAATCCAAGTAACTTGGCTTGAGTAGTGCCAAGTATTGTAGAAGCAAAACAGGTTAAAAAAAATTATAACAGTATGAAAAATCCAAAAAAATAAGAAATATATGTTTAAAGTAAGATCAAGTAAAACACATCAAATAGAGGTTAAAAAAGTAGAAAAAAAACAGATTTTAAAAATTCAACTTGTGAGTGGGGGAATTTTCAAAATAATCTAAAAAAGAGGGAAAAATGCAAAAATAAGTATTTATGGCAAAAAAACTTTCCAATCTTTACCAAAATGATAAAAAATATAAAAAAAAATCACAAACAAATTCCTTATTTTTGAGATTTTGAATTTTTTAATATCCACAAGTGGGACACCCAACTCAGGGAAACTCGGACTCGAGCCTAAGTATTAGGCCTGAGTACTCGAGACTTGGACAGATTAGTCAAATACTAAAACTTGTATCCTTAAAATTTAATAAGAAAAATTAAAAAACAAGAAGCATCTTATCTTACATCAAAGGCTTCTTTGGTATTCTAAAGGTACCAAACAAGAGCATCCCGTCTTCCTTTTCTCTTGGTTATCATTGTTGAGTTGTTTAGTTAGATTTTTAGTTGGTGTTTGCTAGAGACAGGATATCAGAATTTTTTCAGAGTCTCTTTGAGTGGACATTTTATCTCCCATATGCAAAACATGGATAATTGTTTGGTGTTTTGGGAACCAAGGCTATCTCAATTACCGCTTGTTGCGATGAATCCCCTATTATAGCAAATCTAACACCTAAAAACCAAGTTGCCAATTACCAACAAGATGATTCCAATAAATCTAACACCCAATAATCAAATATATGGTGTAATAAAATTTTATAAATATATAGTAAGCCAAGAGAAAACGAAATAATCCAATGGCATAACAACACATCACAAATTACAATCAAACACCATAAACACACAATACATGTTATATATTTATTTTATTCTCTCTCTCTCTCCCCCTTAATCGGGATAGCGGCTAGGTAGCTGCCCCTCTCTCTTCCCCTTTCTTTGTCTCCTTCTCTCTCTACCTTTCCTTGTCTCTCCCTTGTTTTCTCTTCTCTCTCCTCTCCCTCTCCCTCTCGTTCTCTCCCTCTCCCTCTCTTTCTCTTCTCTCTCTCTCCCCTCTCTGCCTCTTTTTTCTCTCTCTGTCTCCCTCTCCCTCTTTCTATCTCTCAGTCTTTTACTTCTCCTTTATCTCTCCTTTACCCTACCCCTCCCTCTTCATTCTTTATCTCTCTCCTTTTACTCAAACTACTCTTAGGAGGCCCTCTCCAGGAGTGTTTTATCCGGTTTAAAGGCGTCTAGCAACCATGTGAATCTTCTGAAGTATCTAGGCCTGGTGCCTA